AATCGAAATCATACAATTTTGACGAGCCACGACGAGACACTAGCGTCGAATTTGAAAAGAATATCGATAAAGATTAAAGGACAAATTCCTAGCAACGCCATTTTCCCGGGTTGTTCCTCAGCCCTCGATTTATCGTCGAACGAACACGAGGGTATGCTGACAGTGGCGCAACGAGGGTGAGACAGGGGTGAGTTTGTGTTGGAGTGGGTACATTAGTAATGTTTTGTTGACACTGGAGAACAACGACAGAGCCATTACTGGGCTCCGACCCCACCGACTATGCAGCACGGCTCCTCTTCGATCCATCGAACCAAGGAACCCTGCCACACGGTTCACGAAGTGGATTAGCTAACTCTGCGTTCCTCTTTTCCGTTTCTCTTTCCACTATTCATCGCCGCAAAAAGTCATTTTGTCGATCCAACATTTTCTAACAACGAAATTAACACTAAAAGTATAATTGTCGTTCTTCTAATATTCCTCATTGGAAACGTAATAATTCTAAATATAAAACAGAATTGAATATTTTCAACAGCGACGCGAACAATCCACAAAGAAAGCGGAAGAGTTCGTTTCGAAGGAACGTTTCTCTACGGCACGTAGGGACGACCTCTTCCGGCTTTATTTATTTTTGGCGGCGCGATGTTGTTCTTAACCCTTCGGCCGGGCGAACTGGTTATGTACTCTCGGTTGTTTCGAAGATTAGAAGCCGTCTGAGGAGCGGCCTTCTCCTTCGCCCAACGAGATGATGATATTAGAGCCCGAGGGTATAATAAAGACGCTTTAAGCGACGTTTATAACAAGAACGCCTTTCCAGCGAGAAGAAAAAAAACTCTGTCGCAGCACGTGCAGAGAAGATAAGTTTATTTTTGTCTATGGGACTCGAAGCCACGCAACAATGCATCGGGACGCGTCCTCTGACCGTCATACTCGAGAGAACGAACATACATATATGTATACATACATCTTGACATCTTCAACAGCCTTAAATACTCATACTACTTACACGTATAAACGTGCGTCTAAAAACGATAAAATTGAATTCACCGAACGACGTTCGATGCGAGGTCGAAAATCGCAGAGATAATTAGACGGATCCTTTGTCATTTTGTAACGGCGATAGGCGATAGGCGATAGGCGATAGGCGATAGGCGATAGGCGATAGGGTAATTGGAATGTAACCTTGATCGAGGCTCGACGACTAAATTCACCGAAACGAAAATACAGCACGAAGGTGTAGACGTTTCGAGAAATTAATGAGTCACACGTGCACGGACTGAAAAAAAGAAATCGAAACGACCGGCGGGGCGGTGCGTAGCGATAAGAATTGCTTACCGGCGTGTCTAAACGGCGCGATCTGCACGGATTGTTTATGTTTTAAGATGCCTTCTAGTCTTTGGCAGATAAAACGTTGGCTAGCCTGCGCGATTCGCATCGTCGGAGTAATCAAAGTCAATTTTCTCGAGAACTAAACACCGGATCGTTCCACGCTAAATCGATCGTTTTCTGCATTAGACGTCGGGGATTTTGATGCAATCTATAAACGTAATTTCAAACATCGGGAGAAGGGATTACATCATTTTGCTGGTTTCCAATCTACGAACAAACTGTCGACCATTCTCATATTATCTGGAACATTATATTGAAAATATTCAGTCGGCCTAGTGAATAAGATTACTAAAAACCATAAAAAAAAGTAGGGGTCTGGGTTAGGTTAGTTCCGTCAGAAAATAAAGTGAAAAACTAGATAAATAATTAATCTACGGATCTTATGTATTCGCGCGAACGTGCATAAAATATGCTAAAATTATACAGAAAACATGTATTTATGCAAAATATAATATTGATATTATTATATTGATTTATGAAATATATTCTGCATACACGTTTTGCATATATTTTCCATATTAGCATACGCCATGAATACATAACATCCACAGTCTAATAATTAAATTTCACGCTTCGTTTTCTACCGGCACCACTATCTTGTAAGCATTTACTTTGCACACATTTTCTCTGTACTCTTCGGGAGGTGTTTTTGGAAACGTTGGCAAGTCAGAGAATTTTGATAGCTGCGAACAATGGACGACGGTCGCGAAAGAAAACGGGGATCGCGTTTCGTGGGGATATACCCTTGAAAATACTGTCATCGCCACCTTCGAGAGTCATCGTTGCTTTCTCGACGTTGCTGTCGATGGCAAAACAGAAAAAAACCGTTCGCTTTGTCGCCTGGTAGCCACCGGTGTCCGATGACCGAACGTGCGCGCGAACCGGAGGAACGCGAACGGAAGATAACAGAAAAAGATGCTGATTGCGAGATTTCTGGCGGCGCCGTCTGCCCGTTATCTGCGCCTCCATTGTTCTACGCAACACACCCTCTCCACCAATGCCCCACTGCGACCCCTACAGGGACCGTGACAAGTCGTATTCCATGATCTGCTGCCATCTTTTGGGTAATTTATCTATTAAGAAATCCAGATACGTGCTTCCGAACGATTCGCGTCAATAAATTCTCTAGTAATTCACCCTCGACGTGTTACTTTTTCTTTTATTGAAATGCATCGCGGGGTTCGAAGTTCATCGAGTTCTCGAATCGATAACACGCGGGTTTTCGCAAACCGTGAGAGTCGATTTGTCGAAGGTTATTGCCTTCCGCGGCCGGAAGTTTTGAGTCACGCGAACCTTTGAATAAATCGTCTGTTCTTCGTCCGTGCGTTATGTATCGTGTCTAAACGAGGCCGTTTAATCGTTCGATAAGAGCTCCCGAGGGAGAATACACCGTGTGCATCCTGGAGATCGACGTTTTTTGCCCGGCATGGACGCCCACGAGACGCCCCCTGGTCTCGGGGGGCCTGATACCAACGATGGTTCCGCCCCTGTACGCGTGATCCAGCTTTAATTTACATCAGCTTGCGCGGACCGAATTACCAGCACCGGCTGAAAGAGGAAGTCTGTTCCGTTCGCGGTGGCGTCGACAGACGGAAATTTCGAAATCGCGATCGTTCATTTTTTACACTGGAACCCATTCCTAACCCTCGCAAGGCCAACGTCAAATCGACAGATATTCTATCTTCGCGTTCAATAATCCAATATGGCCGCCCCGGCTGCAATATATTAACCGTACGATAGCGCCGAGTTTTCATCGCTGGGGATTATTTGCGACGTTGGCCAACGTGGATTTATTGGATTCGAATCGAGTAGATTTATAGTGCCTATGAGGCACTAGGAAACTAACATTGGTCTAGCTTGATATAATAGATCAGCCTTTCTTGAAATACGGTCGGTTGGCTGATCCCAGAAATCTTAATTATGGGAAGGGAGATGAAATATGTAAATGTATATTTTTCAACGTTCCATAGCGAACTGACTCGACGTAAAGAAAACAGAAAAATCACAAGTGAAACGAAGGACGTTCGAAAAAGTGGCCAACGAGAATAGACACGTAACGATCAAATTGTTCGGCCCGTTCGATATTTCGTCGAGGGTGTATACAACGAATTACGGCACGGGGAGAACACGGTAGTAGGGTGGTATGAATGCTTTGTGGGATTTCCTGTAATTAATATGCCGCGAATGATGCCATGCGTATCCACGATACCCCCAAAGCCATCGGATAGGACTATAGGAGCCACCACCGCGGGTTCCCTCTTCCCGCCCCTCGACAACTTTCTTTGTTTCTCTTTGACCTTCTGTCTCCGTTCATGGGAATACACAGAAGCCATAAGAAATTCGATACGTTCCCCGTGGCGTGACACGGCTGTGTACCGGACTGGGCCTCGCCACGGTGGTGCTTCCCACTTCCTCCCTCGCGAAATTCTCGACGAAGAGAAGCGCCCGTCCGTCTACGCGTCCTGGCCACACCGATTCGCATCGATGGATTCACCGAAATCGAGGGATCGAGCGCGGTCGTTCTCTTTTTCCTTTTTTTTTTTCGAATATTTATGGGGTATCCGACGGATTCGAGAATCTCCGTTACTGGGTGTCGAGTGTCGGGTCGTTCGTCTCGTCCGCGCGTCATTGAACGAGTTTCCCGAACCGGAAGTAACGATTCCACGATCGAACCAACAGGTTTATACGATAGGGTAAAGACTGGGGTCGAATCAAACACTCTGTATACCGTTACAGATGATAATAATAGTTATCTATTTTATAACATAACCTAAAATCAATTTATCCAAACGTGAGATTTTTTAACGCGTGCACCAAGGAAAATGGTAAAATTGGCATCGTGTAAAGAACCGGTCACCGCTGTATTTTATTCCTAACGGTACTTAAATCGATTCGCGCAGTTAAGAATTTTAACACGTTTTCCGTTCAAGAGTAACGAACGAACTCCAACGATTAAGCTTCGACAGATTACGTCGCGCTTCGAGCGATTTCGTTTCGCGTTGAAAATCACGACCACGAACCGAATAAAAATTGATCGATGGAACGACTCGACGTATCCGTGGCGAAACTTTAAGAACGTGTACGAAAGAAATTTATTCGCTGCTTTGTAAGTTAACCCAAAAAATGTTCGGCATTGCGAGGGACAAGGCATTCCACGCGACGCCAGAGACACGCAGCGTTACGTTACGCAGTTATGAGGCCGTCTTCGAGTTTGCTCGGTTCGTTTCTAAAATCGGATATAGAGCAACGACCTTCCAAACAACATGAAACTCCTACGCTTGCGCCCTCCTCGGATTCCACGGGTATCAACTCGTTCGCTCGCGAAAAATATATATATATATATATATAACAAGAAATATACACGTATGTCATTCTGGTGGGATGACGAAGCCGAGGGTATTATTGCAATGGCGCTTATATCACCATTGACACGTTCTCGCAAGCTTCCTCGCTTTGAAATAAGCAGACGCGTCTGGCGCGTCGTGTTGTTCGATTATTACAAAATGTTACATAACGGACTACCGTGTTTCGAACGAAATTCCGGTCGTTTCTGAATTTCAAATAAGAATAACTGACGTGTACCCTTACATTTGAATAAAAATAAATCGAAATACCTGTGTTCCGCTGCACGATCCCTTTGTCTTCGGTTCTTGAACCAATTACTGACTTGCGTAGTGGTTAGGCCCGTACTTTCGGCTAATTCTCGCTTCTCGCGGGGCGACGGGTACGGATTGGTAGCGTACCAATCCCTCAACACACTCCTGGACTTCTCCTTGAAACAATAGGATGTCTCCTCGCCGTCCCAAATCGTTCTAGGCAGTGGGAATTTGCGTCGAACGCGATATTTCCCTGCAATTCAAACGTTCTTGGTCAGTGATAAATATAAACACACATTTATCGTCGAAGAAACTGGCCAGCTAATGGATATTAATTTTGCTAAAGAATCTCAACCGGTTATTGAACCTTTGCATTCGCCGATTATTTCAATATACCATTAAAATTTCATAGATTCTCACAGTGGAAATAAATTATTTTTGCTTGCCAGAAAAATCACACGTCCCTAACGTTCGATCACAAGTTCCATAACGTAAAAGGGGCTCAACAACGCGAACTAAAACGATACGAGAAATTGAATTTAATAAATTTTCTTGCGATTACGAAAGATCGAATCAAGCCTTTTGGTTTACGATACGTCCAATTAGAAACAATTGCGTCAAGGGTGGATATTACGTGATTTACGTTAAAGACACTGAGGATCTGAATTACCGCACCGGTATTTTTGAAACGGCACAACACGGTGCACGCAACGGACACCATTTTATTTCTGTCGTTCGATCGCACCACAAATATACCGTGCACATTGTTTCACCCGTTTCCCTCGGGCGAACGAGCAACCGATTCCCATCGGTTCGGGGCCAGAAAAAAAAGAATCGTATAAATAAAGATCATACCACAAGAGCTTTCTAAAATAGTTACGCGCCGCGGCTAAAAATAACTCGATTCGAGGAAACTCGCTGGATACACGAAGGACAATACGTCTAACCGCTGTTGACCGGCACAAAATAAATGTTTTCGGTCCAGCTTCTCAGATCGTTGCAATACCAAGTTAATGTTTTGTTTTCTCGGAACGTTTCGGTCGGCTTAGATTTCGCCTCTCTTCGCCTCTCTGGTTCTATCGCGCGAAGAATCGTATGACACGAATTGGTTCGCTAAAGTAAATGGAAAGATCTAATTAGAATGACGGCTCGTTATAAACTTGCCATCCTTCTGTTTACAACGCGCGACAAAAATAAAACTGGCAGGGTTCGCGGGGAATTGCGCGGCGTTCTATGCTTATTCCTTCGCGAAACGTTTCTTTCGCGTCCATTAGAATCGCCGATGAAACAGATTCGAAGTATTTATAACGCGCGTGTCGCCGTTGTCAAGTAAAATTTACGTGCAGAATCTACGAAAATAAACGGCGAATAAAATGTATTTAAAAATTATTTCGATGGCGATACGCGATAAGCGAAACCAGGGGAAATCGAAAACATTTGTCGTTTGCTCTGCTATCGTTGCAATAATAATATGAAATACGAGGCAGAATTGTATCATAATACGTTTCACAGACATATGTTTAGAGTTGGAAAATAAAAAATTACATCTCGCATGCACAGGTATTTTCGATATCAAATTTTGTCTTGATTGGCTCGATTCTGTATCGTTTAATAATAAATGACACTGTGTTTAATCAGCGATACCAATTATAGCCATTGTCGAACAGTTGTGAATGCTGGCGTCGGATACATTAAGAGTGTAGATTAAACCTGATTTTATTTTTTACGTTATTCTTTATTTATTATATTTGCAGATATCTCTTAATTGACCTTAGACTAACGTTTCACAATGGGGCAAAATTGATTCCAACAATTTTTTTCAAATAACGAATAGAAAGTAACGTTTTCGTGAAATTAACATTGGGATAAAACGGAATAATAAAATGTTTCGTGCTGGTAAATAAGATGGTCCGTTATCCGAATAAAATTGCGATCAAAACTGGCCCGATCGTACGAAAGTTAAATATTACTAACCAACTGCCCCGAGGGGCCTTCCTCTCAGTCTCTCGGCCTCGATATAATGGGCTTTGAGCCAGAGAGCCTGCAGTTTCTGATGATTGTGCAGGCTGAACGTGTGACTTTCCAGGATCCTGTACAGTTCCTTGAAGTGTCCCCGATGGAAGGCGACGATCGCTTTGGCTTTCAGGACGCTCTCGTGCCGGTGCAACCTGGTGCACGACGGCAGGGACCACAGAAACCTGCCAAGCCTCTCCACGGATCCCGCCTGCTGGAGAACCTGGACAGACGACACCATCGCCTTGAAGACGATAGACAGGGGGGGCACACTGTTAGTCGGCAGAACTCATCCCGGTCTCCTCTTATTCTAGTATATCTTGTATATTGGTTTTCGGTTTCGATACTCGATTGCTTGTCTCTCGTTTCTTTTAAAAGGGTGCATCGTAACAAAAATGAATTTTGTAAAGAAAAGTCTAAAATGAACATCGAAAAAACATTTTTTCGACCGGTAACAAAATAATTGTATCGATCGTCCCCTGTCGTTTACGACACTCGTACGTCTTTTTCGCGAGCTCGGTACAATAATACCTCGCTTGAAGATAGAAGTTTAGCCCCCGGTCTAAGAAATTAAACCGATACGAGTTTGATATCGCTTTCAAGTTATCTCCTCGTCGGAGAGTTGAACGCGTGGTTCGGTCTTGCTTTGAAATAGTATTCGTTTACGACCGACCCTCTATCGAAATCAGCTGACCGATCGAATTGTTCGCTTTGAAGCAAGGAATTGCTGTACAATATTTATTCGCTTATTCGTACTCATTTAAACGTAAACTGGCACACACGTTGGACTATCGACGAAAGTTTTCCATAAAGAATAAATAGAATAAAAACACGACGTTTAACCCTAACCCATACCTAACCTGACTTTCGATCTTTAAGCGAGGAATTACTGTATTATCGATGCAAGACTCGTAACACATCAGAAACGACGAAACAAAAAGGGTAAAGTTAAAATCTCATTAAACTCGAGTATCAGTCACGGTCGAGCAGCGCTGACGCGATCGATACTCGATCGTTCATTACCTTCAAATTGCCGAAAACGAGCCGCCATTAAGAGCGTTCCGATGGTACGAGCCTCGCGCGCACCTGCCACGTTTATTTCTTCATTCGCGTCGCCGTGTGCCATCTAGTTCTCGCGCGATCGTTCTGACGACCGATTAATCACGATGGCGCGTGAAATCCTGGGCATAATGAGAAACGAGCCGCGTCGAAAGCACAAGAGAAATGGACGACGAAGATCGCGATCGGGTCTTAATGACGGTATACGAAAGCTTTCGATTGCCCGACGACAAATCAACCCGACGTGTCGAGCGAACCGAAACGCGCCACCTTCTGTCTCGTTCCGTCGCTGATACGATTCTTGTTCCACTCGACTACGAGAACTCGAGGGGATCGATATGTCTTCGCACGAGTATCTTGAAACAGGTAGCAAAGTAAATGATCGCGGTGGCACCCGGCGAACGAAATGGAAAAAAACTGAACAAAACAACACGAGTAACGTTCTTTCACGAACGTTAAATCGACGGTTACTACATATATCGAATGATACAAGACAACTAGCGCCCACGTCTCACGGGGTAATCGCGAATTAACGTCACCACGACGGACGATTGGTCTATAACAAGTGACATCTCACGGATCTACCGTGAGCTTTCACTTTTCGGGTCGCGTTCCTCAAACAACGAGACTCGATTGTTTAATAACCGTGTAAATGTCAAGCTCGCGGGTACGCTTTTAAACGATAACTTGAATTATCGGGAAGCGCGATCGTAAATGCGCTTTAGACCACTCTCTAAGCCTCCCTCCCTCCCTCTCTTTCTTATTACGACTCGCGTGTAATTACCCGTTAAACGATTCCATTCTGAGCCGACTGCGCGGTAGTTTATCGAAAACGCAAAACGCTGTCGTAAATTACGGGGAATATCCATGTGACGTGGGCAAGGAGTTAAACGTCTAGCCGTATACGTAATATCTACGTACGTATGGGAAACGTGCGTGCACAAACGCGGACTCTCCTCGCGCATCCTTGCTTTTCTAATTTGCATCTACCGTCGGATTATTTTTACGGTTTAGGAGAATTTATTAATTTTAATATTTCAATTACCGTACCAGTGTTTTAATTCGCGCGATTTATTCGTGTGATAACGTTCGTTGGGATTACATATTATTTTCCCCCCATAACCGAGTACGAAATAATATTCTTAAGATGCTAGAAACGAATTCCGGGCATGCGAGCAGGACGTTCGACGCGAGAAGCGTAAACGTCGCACGCAAAACAATTTATGGTCGTAGTAAAAACGCATCAACTCCATTAGCCGCGTGACACGTAAGTGAATCTTGGCGTGCGGTGCTGTACATTGTTGTGCACGAGATCGCCAGGGGTGCAGAGAATTTCAGGGCCAATTTCGTCAGCGCGTTGCAAGGTGCATAAATTAATGTTGAGGATACTGTTAAGCATCTTGCGAACAGTCGTTCGCGGTAGCCAAGAGGTTAAGTGGTGCTTCGCGCGTAATTTTTCTCGACGATACGAACATGCCCCTTCTATTTCCGGGCATAAAGAAACACTCAAAATTATTAAAGAATCTCTTTTTAAGTCTTTGATTTTCTCATTTTTCCCAAATTGTTACTAATGTTCCTGAATTTGTTTCTTCGATGATTTTTCTACCCGAAGTGTATCAAATAATATTCTTTACCATATCATTCAAAGTATTGACAAGAGCAAAAAAAAGGGGAAACAATTTTGTATTATGAATTTTGTCGAGTATTCGGGAAAACGTTGCCTTTGCGCACCCTTCCGTCGGATCGTGCCAACCAACACTGCGTGCAAATATCGAGTCAACCAATCGCAATAAAGGGGCGTGAGGGTAACCAAAAATTTCGGGTCGAGTACTGTGGGGTATTTTTATTAGAATGGGACTTGAGATTATGGAAGTTTATTACTAGATAATGTTGCTCGAAAGATCAGATTTTGTACAATTAAATCTGGTACTGACACTTTTTAACCGCAACTGTAATTTTGGCAAGTATTCGAGCAATCCTACATAGGAAGTAACTTCCACAATCGACTCGACCCGAGTTACAGTCTCCCACACTGAAAATCGTCTACCATTTTCAAATATACATAAATCAAATACTTTTATATCGAACAGGGAAATATTCTGTCTTCGCAAATTCATAATCTATTGTCAATATTTTTTAAACGATCTTTCTTTACAAGTATAACGTTTCCGAATTTCTATTTCTAGTTCGTGCTATATATGTATTTACAATTAAATTCGGCAACTGGGGCGATGTTTCAATCACTTTCGGTTATTTATAAAGCAACCTAACCCTGACAATTGGAGATTTGGACCGTTGTATTGGTAGAATGACATGGATGACTTCCAATTGGTGGAATGTGACGTCGCCGGTGTCATTCTAACAATCGTAGAATAGAATATTCGGCGGACGATTTTTAGCGTAAGCCACTGCATACAGTAAGTCTTCCACTTACATGATTAATTCGTTCCGAACTGTATAAATATGTACTATACGTATATTGTAGGTAGAAAGAAAAATCAGAACCGGATTAAAAATGATGTGGTATTAAATCGATAAGAGTAATGCGGCGGCCGGTGTTGAGTAATTTTTATAGGCTCATTAATAAACGTCTAACCCAATATAAGTAGCAATTCCTGCCAGAACTGATCTTTTTTTTCACCATACAGTACATTTGGTATTTAATCATCGTTACAGAATTAAACAGATTCATTCGTACACCATTATGGAGAGAAAAATTGTGGAAAAGAAAACTTAACGAATATGTGATTACGTAGGGGTGAGTTGTTTGAAAATTGTACCTCTTCAGTTTCTTCTGCATTAATCTTGCCTATAAAAACGTAATATGTACTGCTACGTTACATTTATTTTATGTGTAACTATTATAAAGATGGAATCGTTATTGTTTCTAAAAGTTATCGCGATTTCTAAATCGTTTCGCTGCAGGGTTTCTTAGATCGTACCAGTACGATCGTAAACAATCGTCGTTTATCTTAATAAAGAAGACTGGTTTTACTTCCCTCTGCAACAAGGCACGTGTAGAAAACATGACGAGTGCATGAAATGTGCATTATGGGCTCACGAAAGATGTAGAACAGTAGAGCAGATATATAAAATCTATTATTATTCCATCCGTGACTTCTAAAACGAACAATAATACGTTATTCCATATTGTAGTTATTATTATTATTATTATTATATATCCTATTTAATTATCGTTTGGGTTTTATACACATTTATGAAAATAATTTCACCATAGAGGTTTTTCCTACCATTGATCGATTAATCAGGTACGATTTTGGACAACTCTTCCCTACGCATGCACAAACTACCTACGCGTAAGGACGTAAAGTTGAAATAAAAATTCCAAGGTTTCGTGTCGCGTAGACAGCGAGCAATTCCAACAGAAGAACACGATTATCGTTTTGTAAAAGCTTACCTCGCAAACACAGGCGACTTGGTCCTGGGTGAACCCGAAACTGGGAAGCTGTCCGTTGCTACTGCCGCCACCGCCGCCGCCGGCGGAGCTGGCCGGACTATCCTGGGGACTGTAGCTGGTCGGTCCTGTTCCAGGACCGTAGGTGCTCACCTCGACGGATCCTGCCGCGTGTCCCGTGAGCGGCGTAGGTGTCCCCTGCGGGCTGTAATCACCCGTCGAGCCCAAAACGTCCGCGCCAGCAGACGTCGGTCCCATCGCGCCCCCGTTTCCGGCGGTTCCTCCGTAGGCCATCATCGCGTCATCTCCGGGGCCCACGGCGGAGACCCCTTGCACACCGTTCCCTCCACCCTCCACCGTGAACCACTTCGGCTCTTCTTTGCACTTCGTCGCACTCACTGTGATTTCTTTTGTTTTACCACGCGATCGAATCGTTATCCTTCTCCTCCTCCTCCTCCTCCTCGTCCTCGATCCCTCGCGTACGATTCACGCACCGATCGCTCGGCCGACGGACGGGACCTGGTCCTATCGAGAATCGTTCCGACGGCGGGTATCTAGCTGCACGCGAGCCACTGGTTGAACCGAACTCGACGATCCTCATACCTCTCACGGTCATCCACGGTACTGTTTCGCACACGATTTCCCGCGAGGCATCCTCGGTTCGTATTTCCTGCCGCGTCGGGTCTTAAGTTCACGGCGGAACCTGGTTACTTCCGGAGAACTGTTAACGCGATTCTCTGGCCGATGGTCGAGGGAATCGTGCACGTTCGACGAGTGGTCGTACGCGACGGACGAAAAGAAAGCACAGATAAGGGGAGGGGGCGTAGGAAAGTATACGCCAACGCGAGGAACAACAAGCGAGATTTCGTGACGGTGTAAACGCGTCCGGAATATGCAGGAAGGAGATATTTTTAGGTCGCCGCTGGTAGAGAGTTGCTGCAAGCTCGACTGCCGACGAACTCCCGCGGCACCGGGATGTTTCTCGTGTTACGAACAGGGGAAAGAAAAAGATATATACCGTGAAATAATAAAATCTCACTCCAGGTGCGGTTATTCTCTAATCTGCTTTCAGACTGGTACCACCAGCAGCCGGTGGACCGATTGCTACACACACACGCACACACGCTCTCTGTCTACCTTGCTCTCTCTCTCTTACTCTCTCACTCTGTCCCTCGGCCTGCGATTATCTTGCGTTACTGCCTCCGACTAGATCCGATTATGGCAAGTTTCTCTTAGAGCGCCAGGTGCGCCCTCCTTCAAGATTATTCTCCCCCTTTTCCCTTCGGCTCGCGTCTTTTCTTCTCCTCGTGGCAGGTTGCACCGTGAAATCCACGGGCTCGTGTTTCCGCGGGCCGTGGTAGGTGTGTATTTATAGGCGCTTAGTATACTCGCGTACGAACGCGCACCGGCTATTATTAGGAGCGTGTTAAATAGTCCGTTTTCTCTATCCCTCTCTTTCTCTTTCTCTTTCTCTCTTTCTTTCACCCACGGTTCACGACGCCCTCGAGCCTCGGGAAAAACTTTTTAAACTGTCGTCGACTCTGGAGGCCCCTCGGAGGCACGCGACGACACACGACGCACTTCAACGACCGAATGCACTGTTTATCTCGCACTCGGAGCACTCCCGACGAACGACAGCACGCGACCCAGTACTAGCAAGGGTCACACGCGAGAGGATAGGGTCGAACGAAGCGTCGGCTCGTGGTATCGAGGACTGTCGAGCAATGATAACGAAACGTCAGATTTCTACTCCCTCTCTTTCGTGACCGGGCGAAAAGGAGACGTTCTCCTACGCACGCACCAGAAGGGACTGCTGCTCCGGCGTGCTCAGAGACCGAGCCACTCTGTCATGCGCAGCTAAGCGCCGATTGGCCGGGGCGTGGCCCGACTGACAGCCACTCGTCGCGCCCGACCATTGGCTGCTGGGCATGGCCACGACCACCATCCCGTCTTGCCATTGGTCGAGCCTCGCGCGCCGATAAATAAGCCTCATTACACCCCCGACTTGTACTCGCTTCTTTCTCTATTGCGAGTGTAGTTGAAGAGACGCGCAACCGAATCCGACAAATCCATCCCGAGACGGACGTGGTTCTTTCCCGTTGCTCGTTAAATTCTAGGATTGACCGGCTATTTAATTGTTCTTTACGAGTACATATCTCGCCGAGACCGGGAACGAATCCTCGAATTCGTTCGGCACATCGTGTCACGTATTCGGCGAACTTCGTGCGACCAGTCGTCGATACATTTCCAGCGATTTGGAAATCGATCGCTCGAGAGTTCGTTCGCTGGAACACAGTGGTCCTCAACGTTTTCAAGATCGCGACACGGCTAAAAATTGCAACGACAAACTAACGACACCTGGAAACCGGGGACGTTACTAACAGGAACCAAACTAAATTATACGTTTTTCACAATCTCGTTATATTTATGGCAAAATAAATTGACGCGCATAGACAAAAAGAGGGTTAACCTCTTACAGACGTATGTATGTACTTGGAAAAGTGAAGCTCGTTCGATGTTCAAGTCAGTTTGTTGTAAAAGCGAGATCGATCTGGTTCTTTCTTCACCTTTAACATGGTCGATCTTTTCGCTCCCGAGAATAAAATTCTACTCCCGTCATTCTATATTCATCCTCTGTGCATGGCATAAGTATATTGCAGTGAAACTTTATCCAACTTCTGTTATTAAGTACTTACCTTTCGTCTTTCTTACGCGAAGGCGTTCATAAACATGCGAGTGCCATAAAACGATTTTTCACCGAGACTAAACTAAACTCGATCGAAGCAAGGAAGACGAAGTTAATAATCGTTTTCCATTTACGCGACACGCAAGTCGAAATATTATGTTATTACCGCTGCAATTTCCATAATATTTCGACATAAAAAAGCCATTTGACTGGGCATAATTCCAGAAAATATCGATAAAATGTTTGATGCAATCGACAATAGCAGTTACATAACCTCAAAAGTCTACGTAGATACATACTACATCTACGTGCTCCTCGTAATTATCAACACGTTCACTGTCACTGTACTAAAATGCAACAAGGAATAATAAAATGTTTTATATTTGCCATAACATTCCTTTACTATTATACAAAATATTTGGTTCCTGCGTTTTGTTTGTCATTCGTACTGCGTTACGTGAAATACATATTGGATTATGAAACGGAAATTAGGTTAAGTTCTGACAAAATAAAAACCGACCAATAAACTCGGACGAAATATGTCACGGGGTAATTTGTCCTGCGATGATTTTCTACGTGTATTTTTTCGGTAGTTGGGCCAGAGGACGATCGTATGGCGAAGCGGACAAAGAACATCTTGTTTTCCCAGACCGCAAGGACTTTTAGAAAAACAAGACTTCGTTCCTCAAAATAATACGTGTCCGCCAGATTTTCCGGCGCGTCCTTGCTCGGAACGCTGTTCGGTCAAGGCGGATGCAGTTTGCTTTGCACAAGCCGTCTTTTTCTTTCTTGATTGACGTGGGGACGTTTCCCCGGACGACGTCACGTGCGATCGAACACGTGGAAAACCCTTCTGCTCTTGTTTCGCCACTTCCGCGACCCAAGGGCACTCTTGACGGTTTTGAAAAAAAAAATAACTGTCCATCCTGTCGATGGGAGCCGTCGGATATTCCTGGAAAATATTTTACAGGCAAATGACTTCCCTGACATGTGCCATACCGAAAACGTCCTCCAGTCTATTTATAAGTCCTTTTTTCTGTTTAGTCTCAATGAAAACTGTAACCGTAATGAAGTCGTTTTGTGATATAAATATATTTTCAGATAAATTCATACGAGAACGGATACTTATTCGTCTAAGCAAATAAAATATTATTTCTGATTTTCATACGTTATCCCAATAAAATTTTACCGAACCCGAAGTTCGCTGTCTGTGATCTAACAAATTCTAACGTGTCTGGGGAGTGACAGTTTCATCAGAGTTCGACTCGTTCCAACAAAATTGACACATTTCCAGCGGTTATATGCGGTTCTCTCCGACGGGGTGCCACCCGTGGCGTCACCATTCATCCTGGACACCGCTGAAGCGGTTTGTGGTCCAGGAAGAAGTCGTTGACATCGTAATGTGACGTTCTCGTCCCCATTGAGCAACCGTGAAATCAACCGTTCGATCTTCTCGGTGACAACTTGCTCGAAAATATCTGGTTAATAATTCGACGTCCAACACGAGATCTACCACGCATCGTCTACTGTTATATTCCACCGAGAGTTATACGGTTGATCGAAGTCGATAAACAAAAGCGAATAGAAAATTTATAAATTATAAATAATTCGCTTACCACGGAGGGACGTAGTGTTTGGAAACGATGCGCGTTAGTTCGACTCGTAGGTTAGGTTTATGGTAAATCTCCAGTAATAGTTAGAGAAGGTACAGAGAGATTGAAAATTGACAGCGCGGAAAAACGGAATTAAACGAACTACGAGGGGTTTTGACAATCGCGAGGAGTCGAATTTCCAATGTCTCTCGTGGGACGAGCCGGAAGTCAGCGAAACGGGGCACAAAGCGTCGTCATTGACATCGATTCCCTTTGTCGTGGCTCTTCTCGTGGAGACACGAGAAAAGAGAAAGAACAAAAAATAAAAAGGCGAAAGGAGAACGCGGGGACGCGAAAGAAGGACGACGACGACGACGACGACGACGACGACGACGACGACGACGACGACGACGACGACAACGCGGTTGCACTACAATGCGAAAACGCAAGAGAGCATCCGACGAAAAGCACCGTATCACGTTCCCATAAGTGGCGGAGCACAGGGATCCCCGCGGAGACGTCCTCACGCTTTTCTCTCCCTTTCTACGTTTCCCTTTCCGTCTCGTTCCCTTGGCCAACGGGCCATTCTACTTTTCTCTCTCTTTTGGCAGCGCGTTCCATCGTGTGCACGGCGCATAAAGGGGGACCGGGAAAAGAGGCGCCAGGTATATACGCGCGTACGAAATATTCCATGGTGACGGCACCCCGGGTATCCCGCGGCGAGACCTGAATAAACCCATAATTGCACCTCTTGCTAGCCCTCCATTCACGTGCGCGCCTCCGTCGTGCTTCGTTCATTGTACAAAGACATCTCGTAACTGCTCGCGAGACCCGGTTCACCGGCCAACTTTGGCCATCTGACGGTCTGCGCCCGAATTCTTTAACCAGCCACTGTTTTCCAACGCAGGGGGCACGATATACAACCATCCAAGGGAGGCGTCTTACGTAACAAGGAAAATGTAAGACCTTCGGGCTCATAGATTTCTCCCAAGAATCCAACATCAACCGTAAGAATATTAAAATTTAAAGAATTAGAATACCTTCTATTGTCTTCTCAATTCTGAAACCAGGATAGGAACCAACTTCGAGCGTACGAGTTGTCCTCGGGCGGTTCTTCCTGATTCTCTACGGCGATTGGAAGAGGCTCGATATCATATTCAATACCACTGTCTCCGTCGAATGCCCAAAAGCCTTTCCGCTGATTCGAAGACGATTCCTGACTGTACTTTGCAGCAGAGTACGATCGATCCGATAGATTGCTGAACGATCTGCTGTCCTGCTTCATAAACGTTGCAGTATCCGTGTTGACCAAACAGTTCAACGCGGTGCCGATGCACGCCAATTTCTTCGACGATGTCGAACACTTGTCGGTCTTATTTTTCTGCTGCCTCTGTTTGCAGGGGCTGACGACACGCTCCAAACCGGTGGGCGCAGCCTTCTTTTCATCCTTATTCTTGTTCTTGTCCCGTTTGCCGATGTCCTTCTTGCACTCCTGCATCTCTTTCAGTTCCCTTTGCGTCCTGTCCTTCGCGGACTCCTCCTTCGAGGACGCTGATTTCTTGTCTACGGTCATAGAATTAAACGTTCCAGCACTACTTTATAGATATCACAACACGTAAATATACATTGTTTCAGATTGTAAGTAATTTAGGCCTTTCAATAAATACAAGTTACTCTACCGATCATACTTTCTTTACAGCACCGATAGAACATTCTACCTAACTGTTCTGACAAATCTAGAATACTTAAGGTTACAAGTTCTTTGAAACTCCAATAAAAAAAAAATGCAAGTTCCGATACTTATAAGCTATAGTGTGAAAGACATCACCTTTGCACACCTCTGCCCTCCTCCTGGAACAGTAGTCGTCGGATTTGCTCCCGGACTGCTCACAGGGACCCGGCTTCTCCGGTTTCGATACGCCGGAGGGCGATTTACACTTGTTCTCAGCCTTCCGCGTTCCCCCGCACTTATTTTCTGACGGTTTGCATTTGTTCTCCGTTTTGCTCTGTGCACCACACTTGTTCTCGGGCCTTTTACATACGTTTGTCTTGCTCGGTGTCCCGCACTTGGTCTCAGGCTTTTTGCATTTGTTCTCCGTCTTGCTCTGTTGTGCCCCACACTTGTTCTCGGGCCTTTTGCATACGTTTGTCTTACTCGATGATGTCCCGCACTTGGTTTCAGGCTTTTTGCATTTGTTCTCCGTCTTGCTGGGTGCTCCACACTTGGTCTCAGGCTTTTTGCATACGTTTGTCTTACTAGGTGTACTACACTTGGTCTCAGGCTTTTTGCATACATTTGTCTTGCTCGGTGTACTACACTTGGTCTTAGGCTTTTTGCATACGTTTGTCTTGCTCGGTGTACTACACTTGGTCTCAGGTTTTTTGCATACGTTTGTCTTACTAGGTGTACTACACTTGGTCTCAGGCTTTTTGCATACGTTTGTCTCGCTCGGTGTACCGCACTTGGGTTCAGGCCTCTTGCATTTGTCCTCAGTCTTGCTCGGTGCCCCGCACTTGGTCTCAGATTGTTTGCATATGTTCTCCGTCCTACTCTGTGCTTGCTTGCATTTGTCTGCGGTCGATGTTTGGTTCAAACAATTAGCAGGCGGTTTCTTGCACTTGTTCGACTTAGCGTCGTTACCCGTGCCTTTGCAGCTTGGCGGGGGCGTCTCCTTCTTTCCATAGAATCTACCCTTGGCTGGGGGCCCGAGCAATGACTTGTTAGACTCGTTACCCTGCACCCTCAAACCGATCAGAGAGAATCCAAGCGTCGGGACGGATGAAAATCGTTTCACAGTGTTTGAATGCCTGGCGAACGCCGACTGGGTGTAATTTCGTCTCCCGTTGCACTTGGCGGACCTATTGGAGTCTCGATCCTCGCACTTCTGTCGGCCACAGGACTCCCTTCGTCTCGGTTTCGTGCAGATCACGCGACCCTGTTCCCTCTCGGAACAGTCTCGTCGCTCCTGTCTCTTGCAGGACCTTTCCCTGTTTCTGTTGCAACTCTGCCTATCTTGATTGCAACTCTGCCGGTCCCGATTGCAAGTCTGCCTCTCCCTATTGCAGCTCTGTCGTCCTCGATCGCAGCTCTGGTCTCTCCTAAATATTTATCTTATATTACTTGAGCGCTTGCTAGAGAGGCAAGAGCCTAGCCCTCTGATGGCGAATGTGGGAGGCGATGCCATACAAATCAAAAAGAAAGTAACATCAAAACACTTTACCTTTCGCAAGATCTCTCCCTCTTGCAGGGCTGCTCGCTGCTCCTCCTTTTCGACGCGTTCCCACAGGACCTCTCGCGAGTACTGCACTCAGAGTCGTTAGGCAGACACGTGGGATCCCTAGTTGTGTTGCGTTTAAGCTTCTGCTTCCCATCCTTGGGACACTGGAACATGTCGTAGTCGCATTCGACAGAGGTCTGCAACGCAGGACAACAGTAACGCTTGCAGGTCTTCTTGGACTCCTTCTTGCACTTGGGTCTCTCATCCCTGTCGCAGGATCTTCTCCTTGAACACTTGTTGTCGCGTGATTTCGTGCACACGGTCTTTCCATCCTCCGAGTCGTCGTTACACTTCCTGGGACTGGACCTCCTGGCGCCTGTGCTGATGCTCGACGCGGAGCTCTTGTTGTTAGGGTTCGCTGGTCTCCTAGAAGCGTTTGATGGACCCCGTGGCAGCCTATCGGGCAAAGACAAAGTATGAGACGACGCCTGTCTCGTGACAAATGGCGGATAAGAGGCTGGAGGTTTCTTCGAGCCGTTTCCAGAGTTCCCAGACATGGACGACCCGTCGAATCCATAGTTCGACTGCCTCTGGGACCCGTTGGGGCTTCCGGCGCCTTGCAATCTGGCCTGCGTCGCGGCGCACGGCGACGACTTGGTCTGCTGGCCGAGGCCTGGGCTCGATATCTTCAGAGGCGGTGCCTTGGCTACTGGTACTCCGGTGATGAACTCGTAAACGGCGTTCAGGGATTCCTGCGTCGATCTGTTCAGGTTGGACGCTCCACTCAACGCGTTCGAACCATTTTGTTTCCAGCTACGTGGCGCAAAGTAGCCTGGTTCTTCAAGATTGTACTTTTTCTCAGTCGTTTTCGGAGAGAACTGAATGCTATTTTCTGGCCTGTACTGGTCTTCCACCTCTTTCGGCTTGGAAACTTTAGGATCGAATCGAGTATTTGTATTATATTCTAATGACTCCTGTGCTGTTTGCTGGTTCAAGACAGCTCTTCCTTCAACGTTTTGAGTTTCTGCAGCTTCTTGCAACCCTGGCGGCGAGGACTGTTGTATCCTATTAGGAGGACGAGACGAGTACCGAGCAGCAGGCTGCAATTGACACTTGATCTGAACAGCTGGCAGTTCTGGCTTCGAGATCGGTAGGTACTCCATCTTCGCTGGCGTTGCCAACAACTTGTGCGTTTTTGGAATCTCTGCACCCACCGATTCCATCACCGTCGAGACACTCTGGTCGTTCAGACTAGCACCACCGTGTTCCTCGACTTTTGCTTCGTCTACCTCAGCCACTTTTGCTTCTACGCTATCAATTTTCTGAGAATGTTCCTTATTCTCGATGGCCTTTGTGGTTAAAGACAACGTGTCTTCGGTGACGTTGCTAGCTGCAGCCTGAGGACTTTCGGGAGGTTTTTTATCGGGTTTCAGAGGCAATTCGCCGCAGTCGTTCTTAGTTATCATGTCGAAGTCGTAAGATTCCCCACCAGGCACGAACGCAAAGTCGCCAGCCTGCTTATTTCGAAGAGTTTTGTAGCCCGTCAGCTTCCATTTTAGAGTCCTGGGTACAGGATTTCCATCCAACAAGGACATCAAGTTATCTTCCTTGAGAGGTTTTGGGATCTTCAGACAACTCAATGGCGTTGTTCTTAGATCGAATTGGTACCCTTGGATCCTAGGAGGCAGAGGAACCGACGAAGTCACCATAGCAATAGGAGAAAGGTTCGCTTTCGAGGCATCTTCCACCATTTCTGTTGACATAAACGACGAGGAAACGACGTCCTTGGACGTGGGGCATTTCTTCGTGCTTCGACAGGCTTCTTCCTTCGGCGAGAACTCGAAGAAATTCCATAATCGACGCGTGGATGTTGTTGTGTGAATGTGGGACGACGACAACTGGAATAATTTTAAATAATAATGGACTATCGCTAGATGGAAATTTTATTACGTTACAATCAGATTAGATTTTAATGTTATAATTAGCGATAAGATTGCGAGTCACCTTGAGGCTTTTTGTGGGCAAAACATGAGGAAGATCTTGCAAAACCAACGACCTGATCCCGTTCATGGTTTAAGCTGATTGCAGCAGAAAAATGATCCGACAAAATATTCGATTTATGACGTTGTTACTTAGAATTTAGAAATTTGTTTAAAATTTATACGGAGCGTCCACGCAGGGTCAATCTCGAGTTTTCATTTTGATGGTGAATGACAGAACGTTTATCGAACAATTGGGGATCGGCACGCGATTTGATATCTTCTGACGAAACATCGACGAATCAATTATCGATGTTGAATGCATTCACTGTATTGACAATACTTTGTTCGAGTAACGATCAGCGAAACTTTTAATTAAAATCGAGACTCAGAAGAGTCATAAATCAAACGACTCGAAGAAAAATAGAAAATTCAGAGAACATATGTTTTAGAAAATGGTTAACAAATTTATTAATATAAATAACACAACCTCAAAGTGACCCATCGAATATGTGTTTTGGGTTACGGTAAATATTTTCGAAAATACTGCCGATATAAAGAAATGTTACGGATTTTTGATGATTTCTTTTAATTAAAAATTTTACATCGTTAAGTTTTATAATTTCTGTTTAAACGTAAGATTGTTCGTCGAATGATCACACATCGAAAGTGACTTTCCGTTTGCGGCCAGATTTCTTCCCATTGCGTTTGTTCTTGTGATAGGCGAGCTTCAGTCCCTGTAATACATTCTCATGGTCCTCCTGCGAAAATCGTCGGCCATTTCTCGTATGATCCTCGGCGGTGGCCTGTTGCATTTCACCCCGAACACAACCTTCGCGTTTTCCTGTTGCACCCGGACCATGCGACTCTGCATCCTCGATCGAGGATCCCGCGGCATGAGAACTTCCACCCAGCATGGTTCGCCTTTCACCTCCAACCACTGCTCGTAGATCGATCGAAACGGTTCCCATGGTTTTGTTAAGCTCGTGCTGTGCGCCTTTCGGCTGGACAACTGATTCGGCAAATTTACGATAAACAAATCGCTCCAACGACCACGAAATAAAATTAAAAATCGAATGATCTGGCAAAACACGATTTCATCGAAATTTAATTTTCTCGATTCGTTCGATTCGACAAGAAACTGTTTATAAGATTCAAAGCATGGATTTTTTGCGAACGATTAAGAATTTCTATAATTTGAAATATTTTACCAGCGAGGAATTTCGGAGTTTCGGGAGCAGAGATCGAGTCGACAACGCTCTGATCTCGTTCATGTCCACTTCCGTTGCGGTTCTATTCTCTTGATTATTTCAGAAATTTCGTTTCATCGTAAGATATATTACCGAACGCGATCAAACTGGGATATTCGAATCGACTACATTTTATGGCGACCCCGATGGCGATGACAAATTCTCGTTGCCTGAACCGTGATTCCAAAGACAAAGAACTGCGGTAAAATATGGATCGATAGGGACGTTGAACGTTTGTTTAACAAAGTGAAGTTCGCCGTTTCCAGGGATTCGTCCATAAAAACAAAAAAATAAACTATACACTTTTTCACTATTTTAAAAAGTGCATAATATCGTAATATTATTATCGAGTCTAGGAAACTGTAAAAATTATTTTTGATCCACTAAAAAGAAATTTTACTCATAAATGATAGGAAATTACATTGCCCCAATTATTTTACCTTTGCCCATATTACTTTTCGATAATTCAAATAAAAAAGGTAGTGGATAAGGTTTGTTGGTGGGCTAGAAAATGGCGGCTCGTTGAATTCGGAAGTTGCCGAGCGCGTTTTCGAGGCCCGTTAACGAGCCAAGTTCTCGTCCCAGGCTCGATACTCCCGAGGAGTAATTTAAGTGCGCGTCTCTGCACCCGATTGCATACCGCGGAACGTTGTTTCAGACGCGCGAGGATAATGTCTTAATGAGCAGAGCTCGGTAGTAGTTCTCGAAGCATACTTGCTTACGGATAGGTAGGCCAACGGAGGAACGGAGAAATTTCAGTTAGAATGGGATTCGAAAAGCGTTTAATCGCCTCGCCAGTTTAATTGAATCCTGCACGAAAGGACTTTTCTTCGATGTTTCTTGATCGGCTTAAAATTAGAAAGTTTGCGTTTCCTTATGAAAACGTTCGATAATGTCAATTTCATATACGCAGCGTACAGGGAGGAGCTTATTACATCGAATCAATAATAGAAAATTTCAGTCATTATTTATTGTTAAGAATATTAATTTCAATTCTGTGACTGATTGTTGTTGGAAATCCCATCATCTTTATAAAGTAGTTTGCGTAAATCTTTTTTACAGATTCTATAGATTCTCATTATAGAAAGAACGTTAGGAAATTGTGATTTCTCGTTTTTCGAACGACTGGTGAAATGCCAAGACACGGCGTCTCATTGGAGCATGCTCCGTCCTCGGAAACAAACGTCAACGACGAACAGGATCGATGATTCGCGTCCATGGAAACCGCGAATGGACCAATACGAGGGGAGTATTCTCCTTTCTGGACAGGCGCATCCGCCTTATCGCTCTCGCGCCTATAACAAGACAAAAGAACGACGAAAGGGCGACGCGAAACGAGCAATATTTATTTCGATCGCGTCAACTCCGATACCCCTGATATTTCACGTGTTCTTCGTTTCAACGTTCATTTTCCATGTAACAAAGAGTTTCTTGAAAAATGAGAATTTTAAATTAAAATCGATCGTCGTGTCGTCGAACACGCATAATTTGAAAATGATTTTCCGAATTCTTTAATGCAACGTGTCCCCTTATGGCGAAACTTTTTCTTTAATCGACCGTCGCCGAAACCAAAAAGAGACACTTGTTTATAAACGAGTTCCAGCTGTACGGATGCTCCCCGTGCACCGATTCGATTTTGTCTCGAGCTTACTGTCAGATCGGTCAGGTAGTCCGACTCCGTATTACGTTACCAGCAACGCTCGCTCGAGTGCATTCGCTCGCGTTGGTGGCTGCACGTCACCTGACTTTAACTTTGTTTAAAATTAATTAAGCCTGAGGTGTCGAGAAGGACTCGATCTCGCGACGTCTCGCCGATCCCCTCGACCAAAAAAGAAAACGCGTCGGGGTTTTTCTTTTTCAGGTTGGCAACGAAGTCGAAAACTATCGATCGATACGCTCTGGAGGAAGTCGCGACGGAAAATCAATTCTCTTACGCGAGACGATAATCGAACGTCTTCGTTAATTGATCTCATAAAAAAAATTCGAGTAAAAATTCACGATGAAATTCCTACCCTTCTAAGAACGTTAATATTCATAGAAATTGTGAGCAACTAATATTTTTGTTCCAAGGCTGAATAAACGCGAAGTTGTACGTGACAATGGTGGGTGAAAAATATTTGCAAAACGAGGAGTGTCTTCGCGAAAGGCGGAACTGTTCCTCGGGCCCTTCGACATCTCGTTCGTTCGAGGATTTCCTTATTGTTTGTATAATCGATAAATCCCGCGCCAAGGAGAACGCATACAGGATGCTTTGCGATGCAAAAAGCATCGTAATCTACTGCCGCTCGTGGGCGGGGTGGGTATCGAGCAAGAACCAGCAACGAGACACTTGGAAGACCATAAATCTTCTGGTACGAGAACGACTTCCGGTTTTCCTCTTCCAGAAGATGTCGATTCCCTGTTCCGCCCGGAGAATAATACTAAACCCTTTCGAGCAGTAAAATAACTATACACGTTCCTTAAGCTTAATTTTTCACACGTTTTTAATTAAAAGAAAGTATCCAAATCGTTGCATTTATCGGTTCGTATTGTACGAAGAGCATGCTAAAGCACGCTATTCCCTATCAGCGATTGAGAAACCCTATGACCCTATTGGGCTTCGTAAACCTGTAGTTCCACGAAAAAATTGAAAACAACTGACACGCACGGGTAAAAAAACAATAGAAAATTGCACAAGCATCGCGTGTAGGGTTACAACTTTACAGCAAGATCAGGTATTTATGGTGGTGGCGTTGGTGGCTGAGCGCAACAACGAATCGCAACTCTAAACCGAACGTTCGCTCAAAGGACGACGTGTCATCGCGCGTAAAGCGAAAAGTTGACGTTATTACTCCCACAATGTGATCCCCCGTTGGTGGCGTCAAAGTGGCAATCGCGATGGCAGCGATGGACAGAACCGTCCGTGCCTGTACACGAGTTTCGCGTATTGCGCTGCTAGCTAGCCAGCTAGGCGATTTCGTGCGTTCTCTGCTATCCGAAACCGATGGGCGTTGCTCCATCGGTAACGCGATACGTTTGTACTCTGCTGCGTGTATGTAAATGCGTACGCGAGGACGTGCACATACAGGGTGTTCATCGTAACGGTTGTCGCCATTTTTTCCCCCGTTTACAATAATCACGGCCAACGAAAAATATATTGACGAAAGAACGGCGAAAAACACGGACAAACAGGGGCAAACAGAGGCAAACGTTCCTGCAAACATACAAAATGCGTCAATATCTCTTCATCCTTTCATCAACCTTGTTCGATATAGTCAATGCACTGAGATGTAAAGCAAAACAGAGGCAAACTTACACGCATACAAACATACAGAATGATTTAAAAAATTATATTTATATTTACCTATAAATTAATGGTTTTAAATGGGGACTAAATGGGACACCCTGTATGCGCACGTTCTCGTGCACGTCTTTCGAACGTTCCTCGTTGATAAGGGCAAACGTGATGCTTCCTAGATGTCGACGATGCGCACACATGCACGGACGCACGCGTGTATGATAAATAATATTCGAATAAAAGTGATATCACCGTGAAAGAGCGCGTCGTAACGAGAAAAAAAAGAATACGAACGTTACGCGACTGTTGGCCGAGCTTCGCTGTTATCTTGGGCGCGATCGGTCTTGCGACAGCAACCACTGCACACCGAAACAAAAAGATTATGCCAATTTCCACCGCCGGCGAGTTTTTACTGCGCGGTAAACCTGTTTCTCGCGGGTTTCCCGAGTAGACAATACGGGGAACAGGCGGAACGTTAAACCCTCTCGCGACGAATGTTACTTAAACAAATATTTTTACCACTAAACGTATGTAGATACTTGTACCGAAGCTGAACGTTCCCCA